TAAAAAATTGCTGCTTCTTGAATTTGGGATCTTGAAATTATTTGACTTAAGCACATTGTGAATTCAATAAAAAAATTTTGTGAGGGATTAAAAAAACAAACTCAGAGAACAGCCCCAATACATCCTAAGCAAGTAGCACACTGCATTTAGACTTCCCTTTGTTTTCTTTGCAGAGTGATGTGGTCATTTCCTGTGACAATTCAGGATAGTTCCCTCCTCTTTTTCTTTTTCTTTTTTAATTTAATATATTTTATTGATTTTTTACAGCGAGGCAGAGAGAGTGATAGTTAGAAACACCTCCAAGTTTGTTAGGAGAATCAGATAAGATTGTCGTACCACTGCATTTCAGCCTAACATGATTCATATAGTAACTGCTCTCCTGCTCAGAGCCCCATAAGAAATCAAAAAAATATATATTTTAAAAAAAAGATAGATGTCTGTGAACCCAGACCCTCTGAGCATCTACAGACATAAAAAAGGGGGAGGGGAAGGGAGAGTTCTCTTGGCCACAATCATAATCATCTACCTTCAGGGCAGTAAGGACCTGAGTCAGTTTTAAATCATCTGCAAGGAGGGAGAAAATCTAAGAATTCCTCTCCTGGCCGGTCACCACAGGCTAGTCCCAAATTCAAGATTGAGAGCCCCAGACACTGGGAGAACTGGCCACAGAGGTCCTTGGATAATGGTGGGAAGGCACAAGCCTGGCCTAGGGCATCAGAGAGCCTGGTTCTAATCCTGGCTTTGTTACTCTCATTGTGTGGCCTTAGGTAAGTCACTTTTCTCTGGGCCTCAATCTACTCTGTAAAATGTATACAGTAATACCTACTAAGAAAGTTATGAAAACTAGAGGTGATGCTAACATAGGAGCTAAATTAGTCTCTGACACATGGTAGGCTTTTAACAATTAGTAGCTCTCATTTTTATTATTATTAGGCACTTAGATTTTACATGTTGGTCTCCCCAGTGTTTGTTGATATCTCAAAGATAGGAACTATGTCTCAAATGCCTGTGTATCCCAAGGACTAGCCTAGTTCAAAATTTATACCAATGCTAAACTTGCTCTGTGGTAAGAGTCCAAGCTTTGGAATCAAACTGAATGGAAAATGAATCCTGGATGCAATACCCAATAGCTGTTTTAATATTGACTATTTCTACCTGGGCCTCAGTTATTTTTCTATAACATGGAATAATAATACCCACCTCCAAGTTGGTTAGGAGAATCAAATAAGATTGTCGTACCACTGCATTTCAGCCAAACATGATTCTTTTTTTTTTTTTAATATATATTTTATTGATTTTTCACAGAGAGGAAGGGAGAGAGATAGAGAGTTAGAAACATCGATGAG